CTCATCCCTAGCATCTCGAGGGACTTCCGGTTCGAACAGGCTTCACACCTCAGCAAGAAGTGGTTTTCTGAAGGATTTTCACAAGGAAAAATTTTCTGAACGTCTTCAAAGGTCATGGTCTTCCCCGCCGCATTTGACAGAGATGTCAGACAGAGTATGAAGTTGGCGCAGCATACACACACACACTCTTCATGTACAGGGTGTTTCTTAACCCACTTGGGCCGAAGAGAATAAAATTTTGTTAGGCCCATTTTTGACTCAGGATTGGCCGCCTTGAATTCTTTGTAGGTTTCCCTAATAGATCTCGTCATAAATCGCTTTGTGACGAAGACTTCCTGACCATCAATAAAAAGCCTTACGACATCCATCTTGTTCAGGCTTTGTCTTGAGCAGTCTTTCGCATCTGATGTGTAGTAAGTCAACGCAAGAGCGACATCGTTTTCGTTGAGAGCATGTCCTTGGTATGCGTCAGGTGACGCACAGACCCCCATTTTTTTTCAGCTTTCTTGATTGGTCTAAAGCATGCTTCGTCACTTCAGGAATTGCTTTCAGGATATCTTTCTTTTTGAGGTTAGATGGAAAGAGAGTTAAGAGGCGGTAGCGTTCTAGCTGCGACGCGCTCTTGACGTAGGCTGCTCGTAAATTGCTGACCCAGTCGGAGCACGAGGAGCATGGATCTTCTTTGTCTGTGCCCGTAGGTTCTCCGTACACGTCACTTAGTTTACGACCAATTTTATTTTTGAAGTCCGCGGTTATCTCGGATTTTTTTCGCTTAACATAGCCGGTACGACTTCGTGGGGTCACGCTAGAAGGGAGTTTAAGTGGTGTCACACTTACATCGGCAGCATCAATTGCTTCAGACACTCCTTGGACCAGGGCTTCCTCGTCAACGAATGATCTGTCCGCTGGTTTCAGGGATGATGACGATGAGCTTGATGACAACATTTCCTGTCCTTGCTTATGTTCTTCAATCTGACCCAAGAACATTGTGTAGCAGTAATTGCACAGAACATCTCCAGGGCTTACGCGCTGGGTGTCCTCAGCCGGTAGAACTTGCTTAAGAAAACTTAGGTTTAGCTCCGAGACTTGACGAAAATGACGTCCGTAAAACACTCTTCTCTTGTGTCTCCTTGAATAGTCGGCGCACACTTTCCGGTCTGAACTGAATTATGTATTAGCCATGGCAGTAACGAACACTTCTGGCTTTCTGAAAGCAGGAGCAGTTTTAAGTTCATCCAGCTCGGACAGCTCGGAGGTAGAATGAGTACCAGCTTTCCGCCGTGGCTTAGGAATTCAAGTAAAGAGCCAGAAAGGGACCGAGAAGGCTATTATCAGTTAGACGACGTGCGAAGATTCGGCTTCCTTTGGGTCCCCAATCTTCCCGTCGGTCCATACTTAAACATTCGCTCTCCGCCTCGCGCGTAATCTGAGTACCAAGCAGCGGCGTGTCTTTTAGAGCCCGCGGATTAGTGGCACGGTTGTGTTAGAAGGACGAGGAGGGGAGCTTGGAGAGACAGATGGGGGCTTGTTGACGTAAACTCTAACCTCGAAACGCCTGTTCTCCCGACAATCAGGGTTTCCGTGTCGGTCGCATCCAAAGGCATAATCCGTAGAGGCTCCAGGACCCCGACGAAGATAGAGGCGATAGCCCCGTGATGTTCAAGATAAAGTATTCTATACACGCCGCCTGACTGGGGTGGCATCTGTAAAATTTCGGAGCCGAAAGCAAAAGGCCTCAGAGGACTTCTTTAACGATCAGCATTCCCCCGTTTTGGAGAAAAAGATGCGCTCGCACTTGTGAATACGGACTTCTAAGCAACTTTTTTTTAAGAGCACTACTGAAAAATTTTTTTTAATGTTTATGGTTGGATATTACGTAACTGCTAACGATAAATAGAAAACCTTATATAGGCCAAAATTCTGCTCAGCAGAGCGCCTGTGCGAAGTCCCGTTCAAAACGCTCATAGCACGAGATTCGAGTCTTAATAGCGGCCATACAAACAATATATTACAATTTCTGTTGGTAGTTCCTGATAGACTACTATATTAACTAACTGTGAATAAAAAATGAAAAAAATAAAAGTGGGTTTTTTTAGAAAATCGATTCCAAACTTGCTAGTTTTTCGATATATTCGTTTTTCAGGCACATGTAGCGCATTATATACTTGTGGCAAAATATTTAAATTATACTCAAAAGAAAGAGCATAATCGGTGCTTTACGGGGATATAAAGATCATAAAAATATGTTGATTAGGTCACACAGCACAGCTTGCTGAACTTCGTCAAATATCGTCACAGAGAGGCGGTTTGACAAATAAAAAAAAATCATTAAGAATGTTATGACCTAGACGGTTTATTAGCATGAAAACGCCTATGTCTAGAGTGTTCCCAAAAAGTTATATTGATGTAGCGTAAAAAGTAGGGGAAAGGGATGGAGTGAAATATGGCACCTCCGATAGGCTGGAAATACATCAATTTCCACCTTGACCGCTTCAACGGTCCATAACTTGAGAACAAAAAATCTGACGAAATAACCGTTTGCGTCTTCTTTTATTATAGGAGTTGCCCCAAAACATATATTTTTTTCGTCAAAATTAAAAATTCGACCCTAAATCCGTGCCTGAGTTGAGATGAAATCACCCATATATATATATATATATATATATAATACATATGTAAATCCTCTCCTTTTTTTAAGCTTAACATAACTTTTTTTTTCAAAAACCGTGAAAGCTAGATGAATGCGGTCTGCGCAGGTGAGTTATATGGCCAGGGGGACATAATATAGGAGGCTAATCGTAACGATCAGTCGGCTAATTAGTTAAAATTCATTAATTAACTTTTTAAATAATGAAAATAGACGTATAGTTTTAATTAGTAACTTGCTGGGCGCGTGAGAAGCGTAGCAGTGCGCTAAATTTAGCACTCGTGGAGCACGTACAATGCTAGCGGTTGCGATAAGGCGCCCGCGTAATTTTTCCGTCTCTTATCTAGCCCCAGCCTTGTACCTGCTCCACGAGCGGTAAGTTTAGTGCACAACTACGGTTCTCACGCGTTCAAAGTCTTTCTGAAAATTACTGATTTAGCGGTTTTCGATGACGCTGGGCAAGTTTATGATTGGAACTATATTTCTATTCTCATTAATGAAAAAGTTAATTAACGAATTTAACTAACTAGCCGACTGATCGTTACCATTAGCCCCCTATACTATGTCCCCCTGGCCGTATAACCTAACTGCGCAGACCGCATTATTCTATCTTTCATGGTTTCTTTTCAAAAATTCTGTTAAGCTTAAAAAAAACACCCTGCATATATATATATATATATATATATATATATATATATATATATATATATATATATATATATATATATATATGGCGGCCAGTGGGTGTTTGCGGAGAACTAGTATTTAAAGGGTCAGCAGCAACAAAATGTATTATGGAAAAAATTATATATATATGTATTTTTTTTTCATAATACATTTTGTTGCTGCTGACCCCTTAAATACTAGTTCTTCGCAAACATCACTGGTCGCCACACTTTTGTTGATTGTTTACGGAAATCGCTTTTGAATGTAAAAGACAATGAGCTCTGAAGTACTCGAGTATTATCCCCACTTCTAAAGCTAGTATACGCACAAGAATTAAACACATAGGACGGAGGGAGCACTGAAACTTTACCAATTTTACTAACAGGCTTGGTGATTACTAATTCTTACGCTACATTGTAAGTAAAACAATGAAGGCCGAATTATGGGATGAAAAAAACCCATGATATCTATAAAGGTTTGCCTAATGAAAAGAACGTTGACATATTATAGATAGAACCGTAAAAGTGGGTTTGGTAAACATCTTGGTATCCGAACGCAAAAGGAGACAAGGAACACACAAAAACACGTCAGACACGGACAGCGTGTCTGAAGTGTTTTTGTGTACCCTTTATCTCCTTTTCCGTTCGCATAGCAAGACATATTATATCATTATTTCTCCTCAAAGATGGACTCCTGTAGTTTCATTGAATTTAGTATCTTTCATATTTCGGAATTTGACAACTGCGTTGCGTGTGCCGCAAATTGTTCAGCTCAATTAAAGTATCTGATTTGGTGTCTCATGTACGAATCGTTTACCAGGGATTAAATAAAGGATGGTATTTGAGAGTCTGTTTGAAAACAATGTTATCATCGTGCGGCATTTTTGTTGAACGCCTCTGTATGTTGCATGCATTCGTGCAAGCGAAATTCGCACTTTCAAGCCCGGGTAATTGAGTCATAAAGGCTAGACAAGATACACCTTTTGATTAATTCGTGCCTTAGAGTTGCGAACTGCAGTTACCGATTTGCCGAAGCGAGGGGTGTGAGATCGGCGAACGTATAACTTTTTACAACGAGAAAACTGCTGACATCCGACTAAAACGATAAAACATAAACTTGAAGACGGGAAACGCATTGCACCATTGATAGACTATAATCTAACTCTTGTTTATAACTGCACTACGACCTTCAGAAGACCAGCCAACGGCATGTCCTATTTAGTATTGTCTGATAAACAGGATGAACATTTTGAGATTTTGCTTTTATTCTCGTAGTCTTGCCCCTTTCACAGCGAATGCTTGGCCTCTGCATTTCCCACTCGGTTAAACGCCGTATCCTATTAACCTACCTAACGCTACCTAGGTTTTCTTATAAATTTCTGGGATGAATTTCGAAGCAACGAATATCATGCGAAAAGAGATTTGTTTCAGATCCACCTTGCAAAAGTGCGTTACTGCATCAAAGTGAGTTTGGCTTTCTTCTTACGTGAGCACGAATTAGTGCAAGAAAGTCAAATGCTAGAATGTACCATAAGAGTAGTCTCTTAGCAAACATTAGCTTTTGCAGTCTTGAGTTATCAGCATGTGTGGAAAACGGAAGTAGAAAACATTTACTAAATCCGTTCCTCAGAGAGGAGCTTGAATTTATCTGCTTACAGGGTCAAATCATAACAGCGCCGCTTGCTTACCTGAGCTGCCACCAGTCACAATTACAGTCTTCCCTTCCATGTCAGTGTCGGTGTCACACATGCCCTTGCGAACGAAGATTGCAAAAATGCAGAGCGCTCCAGAGGCGACACGAACGTAAAGTTCAGTCAGAATCAGCCAGAGCCACATCAAGAATTTGGAGCTGATGCAGACCTCATCAATTGCCATGGTGCCGTCCTTCGAACCTTGCAAGAACAAACCCGACATCACGCAGAAAGCCGTGGACAAATCGACCACAACAAAGCAGAATGCCGCTTTGAATAACGTGCGTGTGCACCAGACAGTTGGTTGAAGGCACTCTACTAAGTAGCGACCTACAAACAGCTACAAACTTCAAACTGCGTACACTCAAGTCGAACCCGCGCCCGCGCCTGTGTATTCCTCATAATAGGATTTTGCAATGGGCAAGTCCCCATAAGAAAGGCCTACATCCGTTTGATCCGACAGGTCAATCGGTGACGCTTTATGTTAATTACTTGTTACAACGTATTCCCTTTATGTCCATTGTATGGGGGGGGGGGGGGGGGATCGCTTTCGCATTTATGGGGCGGTGATGCAATTACACACGGCACTAGAGAATAACATTTTCCTTCGTCCTCAGGATTGGCTGTTTTGGCTTCGTGACTGTGAGGAAACCACTGTTTTTTTTGTTTTTTCTTTAGCTTCGCAAGAGGGGATGTGGTCCGAGAGAGGCTTCCTTTGTTCTTCCATAATGGGCGCAATGGACAAATACATGTCTCGACACAAACGTTCTTTGTTTAGTGGGTCCCTTACTAATACGTGCGACACACACGTGGAATCCTAAACAAAATGTATTTGTAGGCTTGTTTTAGCCTAGAGTGTTGTATACAGTCTGAGCGAGTTTTCATGACAAAAATGGCGACATCAAACAATTCGTTTGCCGTACAACAACGATGGCAAATTCTAGAGGGAATATACTTCATTCAAACAACGCGGCTGCATAGTAAAATTGCTCGTCTGATATCTAGGATTATAATTTAACAACGCCCACACCCGATGCGCTCCACCGCCTAACTTCGGATTACACTTACTAGAGCGATAGGCTTTACAATATTCCACAACGTAGGACCCTGCGCTATGTTCGTTCCTGCGTTTACTATATTATTCATCATGTGTTCTTCGTCTTTTCTTCATGCAGTCAGGATCGAAGCTTGCGTTTGTAATATAGTAGACAATAAATTACATACCATACATATTTTTATATCAATGCTTTGGTAGAGTGTGAAAAAAAAACTTAAGAAAGAATTAGACAAGAGCAAATATACAGACAGGACAATGTTCAAATTATTTCTTACGTTTTTACATTACGGAAACACGATATGCAAAAAGTTTGGCCTTTTTCAATTTGAAAAGATTTTTTTTTCTGCGCGTTTCCCATTGTTACATTGTTCTTATAAAATCATTTCGGGCTGAAGAACACTTTTTTCGAAAACAGATAGCGGGTGACCACGCCCGCTTTTGGGATACGCTCACTGTTTATTGATGAAGTCTCGACAAACTCAACTCAACCCAACCTTATTAATCTGAATACTTTAATGTTCTCTGATATTATATAAAATAACCGTAACAAAGTCAATATCTTTTTTCTAGAACCAAGAGTTCTCCGATAGGAATTACAATTTTCAAAGCGGAGGTTAATACAAAAGGCCTGTCCTTGTTCTGGCATTTTTAACTCAAATATGTGGCAGTATCACAATAAGTCGGGCAATATTGTTCTCGCAGCACTTCAGCAACAAAATTATAGTAGTTTTAGAAAGTAAAGTTGAAGTGTTAAGTATTTTAGAGATATCAAAGGCTAGATTGTAATGAACAAGAAATACTGACTGATTACTTTTGGTGTATTTCTCTGCAAACGAAGTCCTTTTAGAGTCATATTGTCACAAGTGACAAATTATGTGGCGGCGAAGAACTAAAGGGACTGAAGCTTAATGGCGAGCTTGTGCCACTACAAACAAAACAGGAATAACTTAGAATAATAAGAGGTCGTTGCGGGCGTCGGCGTCGGCGAGGATGCCGGCTCGAGCGCTGGCGAGAGACTGATCTTGGACCACCACGCGGAGCACCTTTTGTACCCGCGGGGGTCTCAGGAACATTGGGCGTAAAATGTTTGGAGAGTAAAGCATTCGTACCTATATCAGACAAGGTTATCGAACTTATGAGAATGCTAAATTCAAAGAATAAATAAAAGAAGCGTCCGCTCCCATGAATCTAACCTGGGGCCTCCGCACGAAATTCAAGTCCTGTACCATAGCCTTTTCTATACTCACAAAGCCTGGCAGAAAGTCACGTGACGCGCTCAAAATTACTACAGAGATTAGTTGAGCTAGTTGGTTACTATACATCACGGGTGGAACTAGCTGAAGAATGAGCCTCAATAACCCCGTAACCTTAAGAAAAGCTCTTTCTGCAGGACTGCAACACGGCTCAGTATAAATAGAAGAAAAGAAGCAAGAAAATTAAGGATTTTTTTTTAAAAATGGATACGCATACAAACTAGTAGAGGAGGAGGACGATTTATTAAAATAGTTGGTAGTCCAGGGATAAGTCTTTAAAACTTTGGTTTGGGATAGTTGGTCCATGGTAGGTATTAGGTTTAAAAGCGCTAACAGACAGGGACAATAGAAAATAACACAAACGACAGGGACAAGGCGGCTTGTCCCTGTCGTTGGTGTTATTTTCTTTTGTCCCTGTCTGTTCGCGCTTTTAAACCTTATACCTGGGATACGTTTTCTTTTTTTATTCTCCTTCCCTCATTGTGCAGCTGGTTCCACTGGTAACGCTCGAAATTGTGGGGCAAACTGCCGAGGCTGATTGATTAGAGATTACAGATATTGATACACGGGAACAGCGTCGAAAGGTTAGCATCCCCTGCTTGGAGTTTTCATCGGTCGATGCGCCATAGGGCACAATGCTGCCCAGACAACGCAGATGGTCCTGAAGACGTCCTCGGCTGGTCTGTGGCTGTTGGAGGGCGGTAGTGAGTGCCCAGGACTGTCGCGTAGCCTCCACCACAGTTCTCTGCGGCCGCAATCGCCGTAGCCTCGACATCAGCAGCCACTCGCATTGGTTTCACCCGAGCCACAGCGAACAGTGTGTTTCGGGTCTTCGCCGCTCAAAAGCTGTGCGCTCACTACCGCACTTCCCGAGAAACAATCTGCGATACCACATCGTCGCGCTTTAAATCTGCGACCGGGCGCTCTATGGCTACGTCATCGAACTGCCAGGTTTTGTGAGTATAGAGGAGGCCATGACTGTAATCATTCGGTCAGGCGCGTGCTCGCCGCTTGGAACTACTCTCCCCTTTTAAAAATGCATCGTCTCGATGCAACGTGCTAGGAAACAAAACAGCACAGCAAACAAAAAAAGTGCACACTACGGAGGCTTTTAAAATATAGTCCTATCGTGCGTAGTACAAAAATTGTAGAGCCCATCCACCTCGCATGAAGGTGGAGGACCAGCGAAGCTGTTATCTTTACGACAACTTTACGAGAACTATATGACATCTATACGATTTAAATATGATTGCAATGAAGGCACGTACACGAGTTCGTTGTTTAATTGTCTTTAACAAATTCTTATCAATAAAGTGATCATTGCCTTATGGTCGCTATGGTTAACCGCCATTTGTTGTATTTTGACTTCGGATATGCTCTTGCTAAACGTGAGGTCGATACACGTTCTGTTGTTGGTCTTTGGTATACTATAGGCGACCTGCAATGATGTTTAATTTGGCGCTATCTAACGACTGAAGCAAGAAAGATTGGGTTTGCCTGGGAGTGGTGGGTGCATTGTTCAAACATGAACTATTACTCTGGTTGCGCCGCTTAGGCCTAGTGTCTGAAACAAGAAATACTAAGGGCCGGTTGCACCACCGCCGCTTACCTTAACCCAAAGCGGCACTTTCCTAAGCCGGCTTAGCGCCCTAAACCGAGCTCAGGTAAGCACGGGTTTAAATTCCGGTTGCACCAACGTTAAGCCGGTTTTACAGACGCGCCCCTAGCCAAACGCTGGATTTGCGTAGGGAATGTAGGAACAAACAGAGCAAACTAAGGAAAGCTCAGAGGGACGAATACAATTGGTGGAGAGGAATCACGTGATGTAAACAAACAACTGCTGCTGTAGGCGTCGTAGGCGTCTGCTTTTCGCTGTATTTCTTCGATGAGTGACGATTTAAAGGTCTCCAAATGTAATCATTTTTTCGCTTAACTTTCAAAAAGAGGAGGCAAAGCTTCAAATAAACACGTATGCTCTTTACATCTGTGATTTTGTGTTTAATATCCGTTGATAGCAGAATATCTTGACAGTAACAGTAGTTTTCGTGCTCACATTTTGATCGGGGGCCCCAAATCTCAGTGAACGCGAGAAGGACGCTCTACTCGCTACATCGCTGAAGAGAAGACAAAACATTGTCGAGAATAAGTTGGCAGGTAAAGTGACTACTAAAATCAAGTCATGCCTGAGACCGATGAAGTCCAAAACAGTGACGAACTCGCCATGGCAGTTGCGAAAATGCCTAGAAATCGCCGAATAGAAGTCGTCGAGAAATCGTCGCAAGGTCCTTGCATCGACCGTACTCGTTGCTATCAGCAAGGTGACAGAACGGCACTGCACCGTCGTTGAACGTCAGCTGCAGCCTCAAACAGACTTCAGTTCACTGTCAAGTTCACAAAAAAACAAAAAGTGAAATTTTTACTCGATGTGTCCCTCCGCATGCACAGATTACTTGTCAACTTTATATATGCCCCAGTACGCCAATATCTTGAAAATGGCAAACACGGTGAACGGTTTGAGCAGCCTTGGGATCCCTATACCAATAACTCAAACCCGAGACGTTTGGTTAGCGTATCGAAAGAATACACAAGACAAATTACTCCAGACTTTTCCCTGGAACTTCTTTGTGACCTTGACTGCATTTATTGCAAATTGCAAAAGGATGAGAGGCGGAAGCTAGGCTGTTTGCGTAGAGGAAACAAGCTAAAACATTCACAATCGGGAAAATTTTGAGCTTTCTCGGTCACTGAAGCTCTTGGATTATGAACTTTAAACTCACCAATGTATGTCATGTCAAAAGGTGGCTTGAACTAGTCAGAATAAAGTTCTTGTTGCTGTTCATTCTTATGCCTTTATTTATAAAGGATCGCCCTTTA